GTGAGATCATGACCTGAGCTGAAGTCAGACGCTCAACCAACTGAGCCACTCAGGCACCCCAGAAAATGTCTATAATTTTTAAAGGTACATAGTGCTGCATCAAGGGGACAATGTAATGATCTTTGTAATTTATCCTGAAATGTTAAAGGAAAAAAAAATGATGTAGCAAATATAGAAAGGTGTTAGTTGTTAAATCATAATTATGGGTGTCCTCTATTCCTCTGCATATTTGAAAATTTTAATAATAAGCAGCTGAAATAAGTCATTGAAATGTTTTTTAATTCAGTTAAAAATTAATTTGTACTGAGGTACCTAGCTAAATAATGACTCAAATGGAGGCAAAATCTGAAATTTCAGGCAAAAGAAATTTAACTCACATCCCACATACTGTTATGTTCACTTTTTCATCCAGGATACTGATTATCTTTGGCACCTGAACTTTGACCTCAAACTTGGGAAGCACTGTTGGTAGAGATAATGGAAATAGGGAGGTTGGTAAATATTTAATGGAAATACAAATATTTTCATGTCTATAATTTTCCCCAAAATAATATCCTGAAGGCCTAGATGCATTTTTCTTTTTTCAATATATGAAGTTTATTGTCAAAATGGTTTCCATACAACACCCAGTGCTCATCCCAAAAGGTGCCCTCCTCAATACCCATCACCCACCCTCCCCTCCCTCCCACCCCCCATCAACCCTCAGTTTGTTCTCAGTTTTTAAGAGTCTCTTATAGATGCATTTTTCAATGTGCCAATTTTAAGATAATAAGGTTTAACAACTCATGCAAAATTTAACTGACTTCGTGGTGACAGCAGATCTCAATGACACTAAACAAATGATGATGGTTCCACTGAAATAAGAATTTTGATACTTGGCAAAGTGCAACTTGCTACTGGAAATCAGACTCGTGAATTTCTGGTGCACAGAATTACGATGACTTTACAAACAGCTAAAGCTGATTCCAATCCGAGTTCAACATACCTACGCGGAATTCAAAAAATCTAAATGAATGCTTGGTAAGAAACAAAATGTTATGTCCTTTTCATCGTTCATAATCCATACCAAATTCCTCTACAGTGAAGGAGTGCTCTATCCTTTTGCCTGATTCCTTCTGTGCCACCACCTTGTAAGAGCCCTGAATGGGCTCGGACGAGAGGGGAAAGGCCAGCTGTTGGAGGCCACTCTCCAACTTGACACCTTGCCATTGTCCAACACGGTTTCCTTTTGGGTCCTAGACAGAAACAGGGAGCATGGAGAATAATCATGTAGCTATGATAGCTCTTGAACAAAAGACTTTGGGGTTGGTAACTGGCATTGCCTTCAGAAGAGATAAACACAGAAGAAAGATAAAACAGGGTAAACCTGACATCTGGGAGCAGGGGATTTTAGATCTGACAGTTGTTTTTTTTAATAGTAATTCATCTCTCAGGAGTATCAGAACTTCCATTCTTAAACGCGCTGATTTCTTTATACAAGACTCTGATGCTTACCTCAAGGTATACCAGTGGAATCTATATGAAAAAAGGAAAGAGATGTGATTAGAATTTCACCAAAGACTATGATTTCAGACTTGTGATCAAATAGGGAAATGGGAAAATGGATTCTGTAGTAAGTTATAACAAAATTTAACCTGAAACATTAAAGAGCTAGAACTGTTCAGGGAAACTAGTAAATAGTTCTAAGTGAAAAGCATAAATAATGTATTTCCACAACAATCATTTCCTGGAAAAATATTTTTGGTGAATAAGTTTTATTAATATTTATTAATTTACTCATATTTTTAACCAGTAATACTAGGTACTTACGACCTGTAAGTAAAGAATATGACTATATTGCTTACTTATATAAATTATATATTAATACCGTGATATGTCATTTTGATTTAGACCAAGTAAGAATTTTGGTTAACAGTTAACTAAGAACATTTTTTCCTAATTTAAAAACTTGCATTTTTACAGCAGCTTTGTTTCTTTCCTTGTTGAAAGCTAGTTGGAGCAAGGATCACCCAATTAACAAAAATGAAATCTTTACATGCGATATATATTGTATATTATACTATGTGTTAATATCTATCACAAATACATGTGTATATAGTATATATACGTATTTGTTACCATATTACAATCTTGTCTATTATGTATATATTCAGAAACAGTGAAACTCTGTGCTTTTAGTAATCATAAACTCCTTGAGAGTATGGATATGGATAACATCTCACTTTTTTACTCTTCATTATGTTTAATGTATTATGGTCACAGCAATAAATGTAGCTGACTATTGTTGAGCTGATTAATTACTGTTGTAAGAGAGCTTCCTCCATTGTTTACTCCTCAGTAATGCCTTCCATAAGACTCTAGATCTGTAGGGAGTTAGGATCCCAGTTTCCAAAAGGAATGAGTTTCAGCTTCTTGCTTTTCCTGGACCTTCCTGCCCCTGCTTGGGTGAGTACTCCCATCCCCTCCCCCCATCCCCACCACCAACCCAAACCGTAACTACTGAGATCCTTACCAGTTCATTTAAGGGGTGAAAGTTTTCATCCACAGAGACAATACGGAATTTTACTAAAAAAGAAATACTCTGATAAGACTCAGACATGATATGATAAGGCAGGTCATGTGAGTGATAGGGCAGGAGGCTAAGAGATGGGGATAATTAATGGCGCTTGGCTGGAAAACCAGCTTTGGGGTGGCCTCTCCTTCTCAGTAGTGCCCCAGTAGTAGAATTTCCCTACATACCTGTCTGTCCTGGTTTATAGATGGGTTTGTCTGTCTGGACAAAGACCAGACTTTGAGCATTCTTTACCAGCATTGTGTTCCTCTTCCTGAAGTCTTGTGTTGGTCCCTTTATCTGGACACTGAGAAATGCCATCTCTGACAAGGATGAGCTCCTTGGGAGCTGAACAACAAAAAATACCACCGAGGAGTTGCACAGTCTTCTTTCTCTGAATCCTTCATCCATGACTATTTTCTACCTCTCTCTCAGCTTCACCAAGGGCTAGGTAAGTATGAATATTTTGCCAGACATGAATGAAGATAATAATATAAGATATAGGGGAGATATGTCAGTGAGAACAGCCGTCAGTGGAACCCAAATATCCAGAGAGCTAACCTGGAACTCTAGTTAATTGCTTGCTCTGACCTTAAAGAGATGGTTACATATCAAAATTAGAAACCCTCTTTGACTAAGTCAGGGCGCATGGGTGGTTCAGGCATCCGACTCGTGATTTCGGCTCATGTCACGATCCCATGGTTCATGAGATCGAGCCCTGTGTCGGGCTCTGCGCTGACAGCATGAAGCCTGCTTGGGATTGGGGTTCTCTCTCTCTCTCTCTCTCTCTCTCTCTCTCTCTCAAAATAAATAAACAACCTTTATTTAAAAAAGAAAAGAAAAGAAAATCTCTTTGACTAAGTCATGCTTTCTATGGCCAATAGAATTCTTTTTTAATTTAAATTGAACTTTGGCATGCAGAAAAATATTTCTCTCCTCTGTGGATGGAAATTCCATGCTTTGTTTCTTTTTTTTTTTTTAATTTTTTTTAACGTTTATTTACTTTTGAGACAGAGAGAGACAGAGTATGAACAGGGCAGGGTCAGAGAGAGAGGGAGACACAGAATCTGAAACAGGCTCCAGGCTCTGAGCAGTCAGCACAGAGCCCGACGCGGGGCTCGAACCCACGGACCGCGAGATCATGACCTGAGCCGAAGTCGGCCGCTTAACCGACTGAGCCACCCAGGCGCCCCCATGCTTTGTTTCTTAGTAGCTAAAAACTCACTCTCTTTCGCACGTTATGAAGTCCCCACCAACATTTAAAAAAAATATTGTATTTTTTTTAAAGGCTCCACATCCAAACGTGGGCTCAAACTCATGACCCCAAGATGAAGAGTCACATGGTCTACCAACTGAGCCAGCGAGGTGCCCCAGCTCACTAACATTCTTAAAGTTGTTCTTTGCAGATTCAACACCAGCTCCCGTCACCATGATTCGATATAACGTATCAAACAAGGACAGGCAAATAGTACTCACAGTGAAGGAGACGCAGTGGAATAAATCCTTCTGCACCACCAGGTCAGTGAAGAGGCTCTGGTTTGCCCTGAGGGACTCCAAGGAAGCACTTACAGTCACTGTCTCATTCAGGTAGCTCAGAAGGACGCAACCCTTCTCAGGAGTCTTGGTGTGGAGCAGGGAGGGGACCAGCACCATATACTGCCTGGGGAGAGAAGGCTGAGTCAGAGACAGAAATGGAGAATAACAAGCATTTTCAACCATAAACGTGTTTTCCGTAACCATATGTATTTCTTGCTACGATTGATTCCATACCAACTGTCAATGAACAAAGAACAGGATGATGGAAGGTTCATCGCTGCCAGGCATACGAATTCTATTTTTCACTCCTGAGTAGTCCCTCACCCGCACAGCCTATACCAGAAGTTGGCCGCAAGGATGTTATAGTTTTACATCCACTCTTTGTATTAAAGGGCATTAATATCCGAGTTCCTGAATATATACCCATAAAAGTACATATATATAACAAATTGCTGATGATTATTCACTTTATAAAAAATTTACATTAAATTCTGTCTCTATAAACATCCCTTGTGCATGAACACCACGACTGAATACATTCATCTGGAAAAACCTCAGTGAAATCGTTTTTTTGTAACAGCAGTACTGAAGACATAACGTATTTGCTGTTTCTCTAAGGTTCTTCAGACATACCTTAGCCAAAATCAATGGTATTTTTGTCAACGAGTTTTAATTTTTGTTATTAATTTGCATGCACACACACGCACTCACAAGGACACATTGCACTTGATTAACATCCTCCTTCATCCTCACCCTCTTGAGGTAATCAATATTAATATATTGATATTAATACTTCTATGTTCATAAATATATCCCCGTGGTCAAACCTATATGGGTCAATAAATTATCTTATTAAAAAACCAAGTTCATACAAAACATATTACTTTACAGTCTTTTTTATTCTAATTATTGAATGTATTTAATTATTCAGAGGTATGGGCAACCTTTTGTGTGAGTTTACTGGGATCATGACCAGAGCCGAAATCGAAATATGGATGCTCAAACGACTGAGTCACCTACGTGCCCCTTAAAGGTTGTGTTTTTAGGTAATCTCTACACCCAATATGGGGCTTGAATTTACACCCCTGTGGTCAAGAATCACCTTCTCCATTGACTGAGCCAGCCCGGCACCCTTGTGAGTTTACACTCTTGACTTTACTGATACGTTTCCTTTATCTATTATATTCTTACATACCCCCCTCCCCCTCCGGATAGTTCCAGTCACAATTCTAGCCATTTTTCAGGAACCCTCCCAAGTGACACGTTTGACCAAAAAACCATTCATGAAACATTCGACGCCATATGATCTCCCCATAGCCTGAACCCCTATGGGCTGAAATGTGTTTCCTAAGTGCCTGGTACCTGCAAGGAATTGTGTTAAGCAGTCTCTGTATTAATCCTCCTAACAATCCTGTGTGGTACATGCATCATATTTTGTATGTTCATGATAAACGTGAGACCCTCGCCAATTCCCAAATTTGAATACGCAACAGTAAGATACTTCCTGCTCTGCCTACTCACTAAACCAATAAATCATACACAAAATGTGACTTTGCAAAGCTTTAGTGATTCAATAGCTGCAGATTTAAGTCCTTAATTTATTGGCGTTAATTTACAATTAAGAAAAAAAAAAACCAGGGCTATTTTTTCTTATATTGTTTTACTACCCTTTCCCTTCTACCTCCAACATGGACTCTTACGCTTAAGAAACAGCAGGCAATTTGACACACGAAACACTATTTTATTACTTTTCAGAATTAATAGGTATGAGACTCACAGAAGAGAATAACAGAGACAGTTTAGTTGTGGAATCTAGAAGTCAGACTTGGTTCTCTCATTCTCCAAGGGGTCTCTTCCAACGCATTCATCAAGCTGTATGTGTTTTAAGTTTTTCCTTGGCAAAACTGTATGCCATGGATCTTTAGATCTGCTCTTCAATAATTAAAATCTCATACACAGATTCAGTACAATCCTTATCAAAACCCCAATGACATTTGTGTGGAAATAGAAAAATCTGCACATATTCTCTCCTTTAATAAACTTCAAGGGCAAATCACTCCAAATTACCAACAAACACTTATAATTAAACTATGAAGTAATATATTGAAAATTGCACAATGGGAGCTATGATTCAGACACACAGAGGATCCAACATTTAAAACAGAATGACTTTGGCTCAGGTCATGATCTCGCGGTTCCCAAGTTCGAGCCCCACGTCAAGCTCTGTGCTGACAACTCAGAGCCTGGAGCCTGCTTCAGATTCTGTCTCCCTCTCTCTTTGCCTCTTCCCACTCACACCCTGTCTGTCTGTCTCTGTCTCTCAAAAATCAAAATAAACATTAAAAAAAATAGATTGACATTGAGGGAAGGTTGGGGGGGGGATGGGTTAAATAGGTGATGGGTGTTAAGGAGGTCACTTCTTGTGATGAGCATTGGTGTTGTATGCAAGTGATGAATCACTGAATTCCACAACTGAAACTATTTTACTGTATGCTAACTAACTGAAATGTAAACAAAAACTTAAAAAAATTCATTAAAATCTCAGGTGTTTTTATTGGATAAGTGCTAAAGTTTTGTTCTAAAGTAAAGAAGCTCAGAGCAGTTAAATAACCTGTCCATAATCATTCAGATGGTACCTCTCATTGAATCCCTTTCTGGAATTTGGGTAGTTTTTGACCTGAATAATCTACTCTGAACTATATGTGTGTGTGTGTGTGTGTGTGTGTGTGTGTGTATGTGTATGTATATATATATATATATATATATATATATACACATATATATACACATATATATATACATATAATGTAAATCACATTTATCAAAAATGTGATAACATAAAAATTATCGGTTTTTACCTCCTCGTCCACACTTTTTTCCCTCCAGTTCTTTGATGTTCATAGGAAAGAAGGCATGAGTGTATAATAACTTATTCAATGTACTGTTTTTGTTCTTATTAGTTATAAGCCTGTTTGATATCATAATTTAAAAAGTAATTCCATATATACCAGATATTTCAAACAACTATTTCATAAAGGCTCGTGAGCATTCATTTAACAGATATTGAAATTGGGACCCATCCAGGTTGAGTAATTTGCCCAAGACTTCCTCTGTAAGTGAGCAATTAAACCCTTAAAATATTACCTAATCATGAATGTTGGCATTTTAAATATTTGCCTTTGTAGGAGTGACTGAATTTTGCAAATATTAAACAGAGGACTTTTAGTTTTCTCTTTTCGTCATGTTCCCCTGAAACCTCCATGACTCTGAAGCTTACTGACCCAAGGCAAAGGAGAATAGTCACCCGGGCTTTTGGGTAATGTCTCTCATTTATCGCATCGAGGGCTAATAAGGTTGGGGCGACGCAGAATGTCTTCTACATAGACGATACCTCTTCTGTTTATGACAACTAGGCCATGAGGCTTGTTGTTCTTTATCAAATGGTGGATGGGATGTAAAGCAACAGTTTTCAGGGGGCAGAGTCATCCTGCGTTGTGTTGGACTGAAAACACAGACCGCTTAACATTTCCGACCCCAATAAATGCCCCTTGCTTCATCCATCCAGCCTCCACGCAGAAATCTGAACAGCACCCCCCCGCCCCCCGCCATATTTCCAGATGCTCTCTGGGTGGAATGCAGTGGGAGGTGGTACCATATGGCTGGTGGTACCATCCATAGTTGGAGATGAGGTAGAGGAGTGATGGGAGAGAAACATACGTTGACCGGTTACTGGGAGATTGTACGCTGAAAGGATTTGAAGAAGAAAGGAAAGTGAGTTGGCCAGCGTTCTGACCTTTGATGCCTCTGCACGTTTAGGACTCTGGAGGCTGCCATGATCAACCTGGAATGTAGCTATGTCAGTCCGGAGGGGATTGGGTAGGGGTCTGAACTTCAAACGGGAGAGGTGACTCTGCAGTACAGGTTGTATTGGAACAGCCGAGGGATTGGAGGAAGGATGCTGTGGCCAGTTCGGGGTTCTATAGGATAAAAAAAGAGCTGAGGTGGATCAGAGTCGGCCAGAGAGGGCTTCTGGGACTTCTTGGTCAAGGAAGCAAGCTGAGACAAACCAGATGGCTGAAGACTCAAGTGATGAATGCTGGCAGGTAAGGAGAGGCTAGATTAGCAATGGCCGAGGAAGAACGAAAACTCTCAGGTTTCAGACTCTGAGCCTTTTTCTCCACCAGGAAGGAATGGAGATCACAACCTTCTAGATACTATGGGGAGGCAGTATCTAATATCTAGATACTATTGGGGAGGAACTGGGGAGAGGTGGAAGAGAAGCTTTGCAGTTATTGGATTCCACCGACTTTACAACCGACTAGTTTCAAATGACTCCTTGCCCCTCTCCCTGACTGATTCGTCACTGGGGTCTCTTGCTGAGGACTCAGTAAGTTATTGGAAAAACAGAAGAAAAAGAAAAAGAAAAGGACCTGTGCTCCCTCTGCATGTGTGATCCACAATATGAGTTAAATGGCACCCC